ATATCTGTGTTTTGACATATGGAGAACATCATACAATATGTTTTGAAATATCTCAAAGGTCAAATCGAAGGAAATTTAAACGAATTAAATTTTTCAAAAATTTTAAATCTCTGCCAAATGTAAAATCAAGTGCTACATCTGTATTTTGACAGATGAAGAATATTATACAATGTGTTTAGAAATGTCTCAAAGGTCAAATAAAGCGAGATTTAAACAATTAAAATGGTTCAAAAATTTAAATTGCTTCTAAATGTAAAATCAAGTACTATATCAGATTTCAAAACACATGGTCTCATGTTCTCCATCTGTCAAAATACAGATATAGTATTTGATCTTACATTTGGAAGAAATATAAATTTTTTGAAAAATTTAAATTGTTTAAATCTTACTCTATTTGACCTTTGAAAGATTTCAATACACATTATATGATATTCTCCATCTGTAAAAATACAGATGTAGTACTTGATTTTACATTTGGCAGAAATTAAATTTTTTTCAAAAATTTAAAACGTTTAAATCTCCCTTTATTTGACCTTTGAAATATTTTAAAACACATTGTATGATGTTCTCCATATATCAAAATACAGATACAGTACTCGATTTTACATTTGGAAGCAATTTAAATTTACTGAAAAAGTTTAATTGTTTAAATCTTTCTATTTTTGACCTTTGAGAGATTTCGAAACGCATTGTATGATATTCTTCATCTGTCAAAATACAGTTGTTGCAACTGATTTTATATCTGGCAGAAATTTAAAATTTTTGAAAAATTTAAATTGTTTAAATTTCCCTCTATTTGACCGTTGAGATATTTTAAAACACATTCAATGATGTTCTCCATATATCAAAATACAGATAAGGTACTCAATTTTACATTGGAAGCAATTTAATTTTTTTGAAAAATTTAAATCGTTTAAATATCCTCTATTTGACCTTTGAGATATTTTACAACATATTGTATGATGTTTTCCGTATGTCAAAATACAGATATGGTACACGATTTTACATTTGGAGGAAATTTAATTTTTTTGAAAAATTTAAATTGTTTAAATCTCCCTCTATTTGACCTTTGAAAGATTTCAAAACAAATTGAATGATATTCTTCATCTGTCAAAATACAGATATAGCACTTGATTTTACATTTGGCAGAAATTTAAATTTTTTGAAAAATTTAAATCGTTTAAATTTCCCTCTATTTGACCATTGAGATATTTCAAAACACGTTGTATGATGTTCTCCATATGTCAAAATACAGATATTGTACTCAATTTTACATTTGGAAGCAATTTAATTTTTTCGAAAAATTTATATTGTTTAATTTTCCCTTTATTTGACCGTTGAAAGATTCCAAAACACATTGTATGATATTCTCCATATATCAAAATAGATGTAGTATTTGATTTTACATTTGGCAGAAATTGAATTTTTCTGAAAAAATTAAATCGTTTAAATCTCCCTCTATTTGACCTTTGAGATATTTCAAAACACATTGTATGATGTTCTCCATATGTCAAAATACAGATATGGTACTCGATTTTACATTTGGAAGCAATTTATTTATTTGAAAAATCTAAATTGTTTAAATCTCCCTCTATTTGACTTTTGAAAGATTTCAAAACACATTGAATGATATTCTTTATCTGTCAAAATACAGATGTAGTACTTGATTTTACATTTGGCAGAAATTAAAAATAAAAAAAAGAATTTAAATCGTTTAAATCTCCCTCTATTTGACCTTTGAGATATTTCAAAACACATTGTATAATGTTCTCCATATGTCAAAATACATATATGGTACTCGATTTTACATTTTGAAGCAATTTAAATTTTTTGAAAAATTTAAATTGTTTAAATCTCCCTCTATTTGACCTTTGAAAGATTTCAAAGCACATTGTATGATATTCTCCATCTGTCAAAATACAGATGCAGTGTTTGATTTTACATTTTACATTAATTTTTTTGAAAATTTTAAATCGTTTAAATCTCCCTTCATTTGACCTTTGAGATATTTCAAAACACATTGTATGATGTTCTCCATATGTCAAAATACAGATATGGTACTCAATTTTACATTTGGAAGCAATTTAATTTTTTTTTTATTTAAATCGTTTAAATCTTTCTCTTTTTGTCCTTTGACAGATTTCAAAACACATTGAATGATATTCTTCATCTGTCAAAATACAGATGAACATGTAGCATTTGATTTTACATTTGGCAGAAATTAAAAATTTTTTGAAGAATTTAAAAATTGTTTAAATGTTCCTCTATTTGACTTTGAGGGATTTCAAAACACATTGTATGATGTTATCCATATGTCAAAATACAGATATGGTACTTGATTTTAAAATAATTTGAAAAATTTAAATCGTTTAAATCTCACTTTATTTGACCTCTCATATATTTCAAAACACAGTGAATGATGTTCTTTATCTGTCAAAATTCAGATATAGTGCTTGATTTTACATTTGGAAGCAATCTAAAATTTTGGGAAAAATTTAAATCGTTTAAATCTCATTCAATTCACCCTTTGAGAGATTTCAAAACTAATCTTTTATCATAATAAATATTTAAATAAAAATGTAAGACATATTCTTATCTCGTCTTATTGGAAAATGGACGGAAGACCCACTCGTTGCTCGTATCTAGTTATTAAGGTCTTCCGTCTTCAGCGGAAGACCTTCTTGTTATTCTTAGGTTTCTGTTCCACCATCTAAGGTCTTCCGTCTTCAGTGGAAGATCTTACTGTTATTCTTAGATTTCTTTTCCACTATTTTTAAGGTCTTCCGTTTCAACTGAAGACCTTATTTTTCTGTTGTTTCTTTTCAACTTTTCGTATAATTAAGGTCTTCCGTTTCAACGGAAGATCTTCTTATTTTTCTGTTGTTTCTTTTCAACTTTTTCAGGTCTTTCGGCTTCAGCGGAAGACCTTCTAGTGATTCTTAGGTTTCTTTTTCACTTTTCTTATTATTAAGGTCTTCCGTTTCAATGGAAGACCTTCTTATTTTTCTGTTGTTTCTTTTCAACTTTTCCTATTATTAAGGTCTTTCGTCTTCAGCGGAAGACTTTACTGTTATTCTTAGGTTTCTTTTCCACTATTTTTATTATTAAGGTCTTTCGTCTTCAGCGGAAGACCTTCTTGTTATTCGTTTGTTTCTTTTCCACTGTTTTTCTTCTTATTTTTTTTCTTACCTATTTTGTGCATTCGATTTCTCGGAAACGGCTTGTTAGATTTTTATGAAACTTTCAGGTCTGATAGAACATTAAAAATTCCCAATACTCTTTTTTTAATTTTGATGACGTCATTTCCGGTTTTGAGATTTTCGCGATTTAGTGATTTTCAGAGGGTTACTTTGTCTGGCAGTTTTCTCAAAAAGCACTTAACACAGATGCATGAAATTTTCAGCGATGATAGAGCTAAATGTGCTGATGTGATATACACCTCTTTTTTTCTCTGGAAGTGCAGCACGTCGGCCATGGCTATGGCTCGAAAAAAGTCCTATAGGGGATTTAAATTTTTTTCACACTTTTTCTGCAATATCTTTTTACATGTTAATATTTTTAAAAGATGTATAGAACAAAAGTTGTAGAGAATATCACGATCTTTCTAAAAATATCAACAATTAAGAGCTGGCCCCTATAATAAAGGGCCAAAAGGGGCCAAAAGTTTTTCTTTTATATCTCAAAAAGTATTGAGAATTTGTAATACGTCAAAGAAGCAAAGTTGTTCAGAATGTCAAGTTTTATCTAATAGGGTCGTCAAAATACGTCCGGCGATGTCACTTCCGGTCAAACCGGAAGTAGTCAAAAATTGCATATTTTTGCCGTTTTTGACAGGTTTTTGGGTTACATATGTCACTGGAAGCTTAAATCTTAATTTTCTGTCCGTCGACGTCACTTCCGGTCAAACCGGAAGTAGCCAAAAATGGCTTAATATTGAAATAGTTAATGAGGATTTGGAGGATTAAACCATTTTTAGACTTCATTACTCATTTTTTTTGAAAATTGAAAGTTGCAGATGTACTTCCGGTCTAACAAGACGGAAGACCTACTCGTTGCTTTGCAACGAGCTCGGCTCTAGTTATTATTGTCTTTTTCCATACCGATTTTGTGCACGCGAGTTCTCGGAAACCGCTCGCTCGATTTTCATGAAACTTTCAGGACTGATAGAACATCAAACAATCTTGATATATAATTTTTTGTTTTGATGACGTCACTTCCGGTTTTGAGATTTTCGCGATTTAGTGATTTTCAGAGGGTCACTTTGTCCGGCAGTTTTCTCATAAAGCACTTAACACAGAAGCATGAAATTTTCAGCGATGATAGAGCAACATGTGCTGATATGACATACATCTCTCTTTTTCTCCGGAAGTGCAGCACGTTGGCGCTAGCAATGGTTCGAAAAAAGTTCTATCGGGGATTTAGAATTTTTGACACCTTTTCTGCAATATCTTTTTACATGTTAACATTTTATAAAGACATATAGAACAAAAATTGTAGAGAATGTCACGATCTTTCGAAAAATATCAACAAGAAGGGGCTGGCCCCTATAATAAAGGGTCAAAGGGGGCCAAAAGTTTTTCCTTTATATCTCAAAAAGTATTTAGAGTTTGTAATAGGTCAAAGAAGCAAAGCTGTTCAAAATGTCAAGCTGTATCTAATGAGGTCGTCAAAATACGTCACTTTCGGTCAAACCGGAAGTAGTCAAAAATTGCATATTTTTGCCGTTCTTAACAGGTTTTTGGGTAACATATGTCACTGGGAGCTTAAATCTTAATTTTCTGTCCGTCGATGTCACTTCCGGTCAAACCGAAAGTAGCCAAAAATGGCTTAATATTGCAATAATTAATATAGATTTGGAAGATTAAACCATTTTTGGACTTCATAACTCCTTTTTTTTTAAATGAAAGTTACACATGCACTTCCGGTCAAACAGGACGGAAGACCTACTCGTTGCTTTGCAACGAGCTCGGCTCTAGTATTATATTTATGTTTTCTCTCACCTTTGTTTACTTGTTCAATGTTATCTGACCCTAATTGTTTTGTGTAACACTGACCTTCACACCATGCCCTCAATACAACTATTTCTGGATCTCCATATTCAACTGAGCTTGTTTCAGTCAGACTGATATTGTTTACATCCCGAATTTTTCCTATCATATTCTCCATCACTTTATCACTGATTTCTCCTTTACTGTATCTTACTGAAAGTTTACAGTCCTTTATATCAAAATCCTGTACAGACAGCATTTTTGTAAGATCTCTGTGGTTGACGATCAAGCCGTAATCTGACAGGGCGCTGTTGTTATCCTCCATAAACTTGACCATCTCTTCAATTTCTTTCTTCTTTTTGTTTAGCTCAGATTTCACAATATTCAACTTTTTATTTTTTTCCTCCAAATTATCTCTCAGTCTTTGTTCATTTTTTTTCCTGATTTCGTTCAGCCTGGCCATTATCTCATCAACATGCTTCTGAAGCTTTTTAATCTCAGAGTCACACACTTCTTTATTTTCTGTGATCTGTTTTGAAACCTTCTCTAGCTTCTTATTAATCCCAGGTAGGTCCCCTTCCTTGATCTTTGTCAGAAATTCAAGCAAATCTCTTCTCCTTTGGGTGGATGCCGTGGGTAGAGTGTTCCACTCGTGATCTTTATGAACTGTTTTGGCACACTTTCCACAAATAAATTCATCGCATTCCTCACATATAACATCAATAGGCAAATCATGAGTTTTACACATTTCAATATGCTCTTGGGGAGAGCCCAGTGGATATTGTGGTTTACTGGCTGCCATTTTTGTTGAATGTCTCCTACCTATGACCTAGATTTGAAGCAGCGGTAAGGTTACTCAGTATTAAGCAAACTGATATGCACCGTGAACAAACAAGTACAAAAGTTAACAAGTCCTAATATAAAGAGGTAGCTTTAAACTAGGTGTATTCAGTCACTAAATTAAATTTTGAAAATTTATCTAGCATTTCATGCATTAGTTCTGAGGTATGCATTTTTGCTGGCAAAGGGGATTTTGGCCCCCCTCTAAATTTCTTGGCAAATTCCACCAAACTGTGCACTTTCAAGTGAATTCTTACTTGAGACTACATGACACAGGCACTTGTTTCGGGAATAAATTCTAACCCATAGTGTAATAATAACACAAGGTATCTAACTCCAAATTTCACGGAGTATTCCCCTCCCTTAGAATCGCGCTCATTTACTCTTTCAGAGAAAAGGCAGTGGCAAACTGTTTATACCTATGTCATCTACGATAATTTATCTACACAACCATGCATGACTTGCTTGTCTTTGTTTTCTTTAATCTCCGTAAACAGCGTCAAAACTCTACTCGACGAGTTGAAAAGTCGAACTAAACCATAAAACGGTATGTGCTAATCTCGGGCAAAGAGAAAAATTAAAGAATGCGTGGGTTTAAAAATTCAATTCCAGATTTTAAATATTGCATTGAATAAATAAAATTTCATAGTGTCTCATTTTCCATAAAAACACTACAATGTTTTTCCGATGTAATTTTAGAAACAGATTTTTATCCAATCAAATTCGAGGTCTAATTCTTTGCCCGAGACTAGAACATACCATTCTATGGTTGAGTTTCACTTTCCACTTGGCGAGCAGAGTTTTGAAGCTGAATACGGAGATAAAAGAAAATAAAGACAAGCATGCCAGATATATGGTTGTGTAGATAAATTATCGTAGAAGACATAGGTATAAACAGTTTACCCGCGCATTTCCTTTGAAAGTGTAAATGAGCGCGATTCTAAGGAAGGGGGTACTCGGTGTAAATCGGAGTTAGATACCTTGTGTTATTATTATACTATGGGTCAAAAATTTATTACAGAAACAAGTGCCTGTGCTAGATGACCTAGCTGCTACATCTTCCTAAATATCTCTGTACTATTGGTGTATATCTTGTCTACTTCTTATATAGTCCTATCCACACTTTGCAAAAGTTGTTTCCCTTTGCGGGGTCAACCAAAAGGTCAAAAGGGAAAGAAACTTGGGTGTGCTGTGATAAATTCATTGTGTTTAATTGTGTGGGTAGCCCCATCTTGGGGCAATCAGTACATAAAAGGCAGAGCTTTTTAAAAGTCAAATGACGAAGTTACAAACCTGAAAACTACAAAGGCTACTGTGTGGATTGTATGGGTTTATCCCCTAAGATGGCGGCCAAGGGACATAACTTTTGAAAAGTGTGGATTGGACTATACTTAATCATAGACATAATTCGATTTATGTCTATGACTTAATGAATAATATATTCTACAACAGTGGGGAAACAAAGTACTCAGAAGTACTGAAAGCGGGACTCATTTACAGGGTAATGAACAAAAACTAAAAACAGCGTAAAATATTTAACATGCACATGTAACGTGTTGGGGTTTTATATACCAACAGAAGTAAATAAACACGGATGCAGCAAGATAAATTAAGGTCAAACGATTATGCACAGATGTGTCCTCAGCGGGGAGTTTTACATAAAAGCGTACATCAAGTCATTAATTATGTTCCCCGCATTTGTGTTACCTTGATAGTACAACCTTTATCCATAGAATATGACGCAGACAGGGATACCTGATGAAAACCTTTATTTTAAACACATAATTAATCGAAGAAGACGGTAGAAAGTATACTATAAACAAGACCGGAAGTAGCTTTCATTTTTAACAAAAATGAGAAATAACGCCCAAAAATGCCTTGAATCCTCTAAAGCTATGTTAATTAATCAAAAATAAGCCATTTTTTGCTACTTCCGGTTTAACCGGAAGTGACGACGACGCACGAAAAATTGATTTTTAAGCTCCCAGAGACATATGTTGCCCAAAAACCTGTCAAAAACTGAAAAAAAACGCGTTTTCCGACTACTTCCGGTTTGGCAGGAAGTGACGACGCTGGACGTATTTTGACTACTCCACTAGATTAAGCTTGACATGTTCAACAACTTTGCTTCTTTGATGTATAACAAATTCTCAATACTTTTTGAGATATCTGGAAAAAACTTTTGGCCCCTCTAGATCCCTTAATTTAGGGGTCAGTCCTTTTTCCGACATATCATTTGAAAGATCTTCTAATTCTGCACAAATTATGTTCTATATATTTTAACAAAATATTTTTAGTTTAGAGGATAAGAAGCAAAATATGAGTAATTTTTGGTTCTTTTAAGCGTTCTAATTCTTGACCCCTATAGAGCGCCATTTTGAATAGAGAAATCGAAAAACTATGGCACGCCAAATTCACAAAAATGAGATAATCATAGTTTCACAATTGATAAACTAGGTTTATCGGTTGTAAACTATAGTTTACAAACCGTAAACTATAGTTAACAACGTTAATCTATATTTTACATCCGTGAACCATAGTTAACGCGATAATCTATGTTTCACAACCGTAAACTATATTTAACACTGAAAACAATCATTTGCGATTCCAAAACATAGATTATCTGATAAATACAGTTTCACAATTTGTAAACTATAGTTTACAAACCGTTAACTATAGTTAACGATCTGATAAATATAGTTTCACGATTTGTGAAACTATGATTAACAACTCTTAACTATAGTTTACGATTGTAAACTATAGTTTACAAACGTGAATCTATGTTTATCAACAAAATCTATTGTTAACGCTTATCACAGACAGATAAACTTAGATTATCATTCGTAAACTATAGTTAATAACCGTTAAAGGGTTTTTATCATGCATCATGATTTTTTGATATAACAAGGTTTATACGCTATTAAAATCATCCATCAATTTTTTTTTGGTTAGGAAATTAATATTTTGGGTGTTTCAGCGATTCAAAGTTTAAATTTCTCAATATGCATATTTTGATCGCCGATATTGCGCGCCATTGCTCTGACGTCATAGGTGTCGGTCCTGGTCAAGCGAGAGTACTTATTGTGTTTACAAAACGACTCAATGGCTTCGTCTTAAAACCTTACTACAATTCAAATAAATGATAATTGGTTAATTGATAGATAATTAGATATAATTTGTGGCGTCTGGATGAAAAATCAGTACAGGAAAGGTTTTAGGAAGTTTTTTTTTTTACCTGCCAGGGACTTGGTCGGTGCGTGGATTTGTCTCCATTCAGAGCATTCGTTAAAGTACGATCACAATTTTTTCCTGTATTATATAAAATATCTATTTGATGGAAATAGTATTTTTCAAAAAATAATAATTTATCAAAAGGCATTTTAAAAGTCCGACACACACATCATGCACTAGTCTATGTGTTGTGAAGTTCGTAATCATGGTAATGGCGCACGGCGCCATTGAAGATCGAAGTGGCCTTTCTATCAAATGATGTTCATTGCTGGAACAGATAGAAGATACACAAGATCTGTTTATATGTGTTATTTATTAAAATAACGAAGAAAGAAAACGTATAAGGACCATTTTAAAATTATTTTAGAAGTCAAACGTTAATAATCCGATCTATTCAGTCGAAGTCAGCATGGTCAGGTGTTGTCATTCACGGCTTCGTCTTCAATGCCCTATCTTCCTTTCACGGTATGTTTTTTGTTTATTTTTCTGTTGTAGAAGTTAATACATATAAGAATTAGCATCCATAGCCAATGTTATATTGTCAACATCAAAATTTCTTCCAACCTAGTGGTATATTCTTTTTATTTCATGCAGATGTCTATAGGGTAGATGTTTTCTTACGATACGCTTACGAGGTCTAATTGCCCATTGACACCTATGACGTTTCAGTACCACGTGACCCCTATCTAATTAGTGGAGATTTTCAATCTGAAGACCTTACATTACGGACGTATTATGGCTTAAATACGACAGTTTAAAACATTATTTTATAATTAAACGATAATTATATGTTCCAAGAATATAATAGTGTTTAATTTTTAAGAAATTTCGATGCGTGATAAAAACCCTTTAAATATAGTTTTACAGATGAAAACTATACTTAACGAATCGCTAACTATACTTAACGAATCGTTAACTATAGTTTACGGTCGATAAACCTAGTTTATCAAATGTGAAACTAGGTTTATCTTATTTTTGTGAATTTGGCGTGCCATTAAAAACACAAACCGATGTGCATAACTTCAATCCTTTTATTATCTATGGCACGCCAAATTCACAAAAATGAGATAATCATAGTTTCACAATCGATAAACTAGGTTTATCGAATGTAAACTATAGTTTACAAACCGTAAACTATAATTAACAACGTTAATCTATATTTCACATCTGTAAACCATAGTTAACGCGATAATCTATGTTTCACAACCGTAAACTATACTTAACACCGAAAACAATCATTTGCAATAGCAAAACATAGATTATCTGATAAATACAGTTTCACGATTTGTAAACCATGGTTTACAACTCTTCACTATAGTTAACAATCGTAAATTATAGTTTACAGACGTGAATCTATGTTTATCAACAAAATCTATTGTTAACGTTTTATTACAGACAGATAAACTTAGATTAGCATTCGTAAATTATAGTTAACAACCGTTAAATATAGTTTTACAGATGAAAACTATAATTAACGAATTATAAATTATAGTTTACGGTTTGTAAACTATAGTTTACAGTCGATAAACCTAGTTTATCAATTGTGAAACTAGGTTTAGCACGCAACATTCACAAAAATGAGCTAATCATAGTTTCACAGTCAATAAACTAGGTTTATCGGTTGTAAATATAGTTTACGGACTGTTAACTATAGTTAACAACGTGAATCTATATTTTACATCTGTAAATCATAGTTAACGCGATAATCTATGTTTCACAACCGTGAACTAT